TTACTCATTTTCCTGGCTGATGTGGCTCAGTGGATTCAGTGCCGACCTGCAGACTCAAGGGTCATGGGTTCAATTCCCAGTCGGGGCACATGCCTGGGTTGTTGGCAAGGTCCCTGGTGGGGGTATGTGAGAGGCAACCACACATTGATGTTTTTTACCCCCTCTTTCTCCCTCCCTTCCCTTCACCCTAAAAATAAGTAAAATCTTTTTAAAAAGTTAAGTAAATGGATATTGATTTTGAGAGAGAGAGAGAAATATCGATGTGAGAGACAAACATCTACCATGTCCTGACCAGGGATCAAATTGCAACCCAGGCATGTGCCCTGACCAGAGATCAAACCCACCACCTTTTGGTACATGGCATGATGCTCCAACCAACTGAGCCACATCGGCCAGGCAAGTTCTGGAGGTTTTAATGAATTAAAAGTTGTGGTGGAAGGAAATTAAAAACAAACAAAAAAAAACTGGATGCAGAAATGTAGCCCAAGATGATATAATAAAGTTTTACATTTCTATGGTTCATTTCAGGTGATGAATTAGGCACAGACCATGATCATGCAGATAAAATGTTGATATGAAATGAACAGTACTAAAAGTTGAAGAGGCCAACGAACTTTCAGCCTGAGTTGCTGGAAGGGACATTCAGTGTACATTCATTCGTACAGTTATCAGTGGTGGTGGAGATGACAGAGAATACTATGACAAATACTAATGCCCTTCATGTATAAGGGGGTGTAACCAAATAGGAAATGACAATACAGACAGTTTAGGTGTGGCATAGCATGTTTCAGGAATTTCACAAAGGGCAAGTGTTTGTTGGAAAGAGCAGTGGGAAACTAAAACTGTATCCATAGTGCTCTGAGCTCTAGACATGTAAATTAATGAAAGAATGAGCAGCCTCCGGTTTGGGAACTGTGACTACATGGTATCCTAATGAGGAAGGCTATTTTTGTCCAAGGCAAGAAAAAATAAACTTGAGTTATCAATTGCCTTCCTTAAACGCCACCCCCAACACACGTCCCTGACATACTTATAAAAGTCCTAACGGCCCACAGTCCTACCAGCTGCATTAGTGGGCTAAGACTGGCATATCAAAATACTATGGACTTGGTTACTTAAATAGAAATTTATTTTCTCACAGTTCCAGAGGCTTAGAAGGCCATGATCAAGGTGTCAGTTAATTTGGTTTTTGATGAGAGCTCTCTTCGTGGATAGTAAGTGCTGTGTGCTCACATGGCCTTTACTCAGTGTTCAAAGAAAGCTCTTTAGCATCTCTTTTTATAAGGACACTAATTCTATGGAAGCAGGGCCCCACCCTTATGTATTCATTTAACCTTAATTACTTCCTTGGAAGTCCCATTTCCAAATATAGCCACAATGGAGGTTAGGTCTACAATACAATGAATTTGGAACGCGGTCTGTACCACCACCCAAAAAACCTAGGTGAAAATGACCCCCACTCAGGGAAAAGCCACATAACATTTCAGAGAAAGACAGAAGTGAAACTCAAAGCCTGAGACATCCAAACACAAGGTAGTTGGCATTCAAATAAGGGATTGTCAGCTCATGTACCTTCTGAGCAAGTTGGAATTTTAAGGAGCACAACAAATAAAAAGTGATCTGCCAAAGTGAGAAAATAATGCGAGTCCCAATTTTCACATGAAATCTTTCCAACAGTATTTTGGTTACTGTAATCTAGCATTTTATAAAACTAGAGGAAACTAGATGTAATCTTACTTATTCTGATCAATTTACATGCGGGGGGGGGGGGGGAAGCCCACAAAACCCATGGCCATCATTGGAACACCTCTAGTTTATAGTGTCTCCAGAAAGATATTCTGAGCTGACAAGAGCAGAAACTCAACTACATTCAACCTTTCAAACACTAGTGCTATTGACGTCCCCCTCCCCATTAGTTTTCCTTTTATTGCAAAAGGTAAATGAGCTCATGTTGTCTATACAGTATCAGGTAACCTTAAGACAAAGAACTTCACTCACTGGCAAATGTGGTCAAATGGTTACATTTCTTTCTTGTTGATTTTTCTTTTTTAGAATTATTTTGAAGTTGGAGCTCAGAAATCATTTTTAGCAGGACTGCTTTAGGTTCTCGTTAGGGATGTCACCAAGACAGCCTTTTACAAGGCACCTACACAGCCTTCTGCTTACATGTGAAAAAAGAAAAAAACTGCAAGTACAATACAATTTAAAATTTTTTTCCAAGTGTTATAAAACTGGGGAAAAAAGAACAGTTCAAGAGTCTTAAAATGTTGTGGGATTAAAATGACAATCCTTTATCAGCTAATTACTAAATATACAGTTTTTATGAGACTAAATGTTTCAACTATTTGAAATTTTTATTTATTTTTAGAAGGGAAAGGTGAGACGGAGAGCAGAATCGATGCACAAGCGGTGCATTGATCAGTTGCCTCTCGTAAGCCCCCAGCTGGCGACCTATGCCACAACCCAGGCCGTGCACCCTGACTGGGAACTGAAGTGGTGACCTTTCAGTCCACAAGCTGGCACTCCACTGAACCACACCAGCCAGGGAAGTTTCCACCATTAAGATTTGCAATATAGTTGAGAAAACCACCTAGAGAAATTGCAATGCAGTAGAAATTAGTATGTTTGACTCATGACCTTGTATTGAATTAAAATAGTGAAAAACATGATGTATCCAGGAGTTTTAGACTGATTTTTTTCCTTTGTGATATTCTGGTTGGGTTAAGGGAGCAGAGCAGCTAATCCAATGGAACTTACAAATTTTTAGATAAAAGTTGTTTCCTGAATAGTATAAATGATGGTCACTTCTAAATACTAATTTCTGGTGTAAGTCAATGATGCTTAGCTTGGGTTTTATTGATATTTATGCAACACTATGAGAAAAACAATTAGATTTTGACTGAAACTCATCTAGAGATGAAAAACTTACTGCTGGTTCAATGTTATGGACATACTTTTTAAAAAATATTTTAGAGAAAGAGACAGAGAAACATCCGTGTGGTTGCCTCTCGAGCACCCCCAGTTGGGGTCCTGGCCCACAATCCAAGCATGTGCCCTGACTGGGAATCAAACTGGCGACCCTTTGGTTCACAGGCCAGCACTCAATCCACTGAGACACACCAGCAAGGGCTGGACATACATTTTAAAAATATATTTTTTAAATGGTTGGAGCCTGAAAAGCTGCTGAGAAGATTCTAAGAATACTAATCCCTGGTCACCCCTAGGAAATCAGTGGCAGTTACCAAAGTATCTACATACCTCTCTAAATTGAGACTCAACTAAATAAAAATCAAATTATACAGAAATATGTGGTAAAAAATAAAATGAATTTCTAACTTCCAAAACCTTTAAACACTGTATTGTAAAACCAGAGAATTAGAAATTAAACAATCATTTCAAATATACAAAGTTATACACTAAATTTAAAAAGTCTTGTTTTTCCACAAAAGAGAAACTACAAAAATTAGTTGAAGTGACAAGATTTATGGATACACTGCAACCAGAACTCAACTTTAATGTTACAACCAATTTTTTATTTACAGAATATAAATCTCTTCAAAAGATACATTCCTTCATTTAATCAATGGTGAAAGGCCTTATTAAACAGAAATAAAGCCTAAAGATCACTTATATTTAAACAAAAATACAAACAGCTTCATTAAAAGTTTATGAACATAGAGCAAAAACATTTTTACTTAATCAGTTACATGAATGAGGCTGTTTTTCATTTTCTTCACTGGCAACCCCATTTTATCCACAGAACAAATTTTACTTAAATTAGCAGTAGTAAAAATGTAAAAATCAAATTTTAAATATGAAAATATGCAACAGAAAACAGGAAGTATCTTCATTTCCAAACAGATGAACAAGTTCTCAGACGCTCAGACACTTTCTGAGGCATGTCAAAACACCTACATCAAAAGTTGCATTCATTTGAGAGGTATCAATACATTTTCAGTGCTGAGACTATTTGTAGCACTTACAGTATATACAAAGCAGCATTATACTACTATGGTTCACATCTGATAAACACAAATTTAAGCTTTATGCCAATTTCCCAATTTGACATACAACTAATGCAATGACAATTATTTTTTCCTTCTGAAACTGAAAAATTATAATTTAAGGACATAGAATAATGCCATGTCTTCTTCCTTATAATAGTATATTTTAAAATTCAAATATTTCATTATAATGGAAACTTCAAGCTGTACAAAGGCTCTAAATACAATACAGTTAAAAGGTTTCCTCTTTGCAAATTCCGCCAATTTATAGTTAGTTTAGTACAAATAGCAGGAAACTTCTTCAGATTATTGGACAATAAAAATTTCAATGTGTCACTACCAAAAATTTGAAGTAGCAGCACACCACAACAATGGCAGGTAAATACTTTGGTCTCCTCCACTGCCTTCTGGGGCTCTTTGCCAGGTCACAAGAGCAAGTTGACATGGGTATCATCAGATCTTCACTTAGCTTTGAAAGTTCCTTTGTTAAGAGTTTTAAAATTTACCTAATGTAACAATTTAAATCAGTCACTTTTTCTTATTCATCACTAACTAGTTTAAATACAGTATGTAATCTTTTTAATTTTTGTAATTATCTTGTTTTGTTAAAATGATTAATGGGTATTTCTACCATTAATGGGTAAGATATAAACAAAAATGTCTACATTAAATTTTACACGTTTTTTTCCCACAACAAAAAAACACTATAGGACTCATAATGAACACATTTTATTTTAACCTGTTGTTTAATAACATCAGTAGCATAGTAAATGCACAGGAAAAAAAGAAAAAAGCAGATTTCAGGAAAGAAACCTAAGAGAAACTTTAATTTTGCATGCCCAACAGAAATGGGTATTCTAAGTTATTTTTTTCCATTGATATACTTGAAATCTTCTGTCCATTTCAAATTATGATCCAGAAATAAAATTTTAGTGTAAAAATCTATTTCATTATGTAATATATCTTACTAATTTCAGTTTTCAAAATTTCAAGTTTTCAAAATTTCAAGTAATACAAACCCAAGCATTTCCTTTTACAGTAACATTTTATTGACTAAACTTCAAAGATGGGGGAAAAATTCATTTAAAGTAATTGATACGCTTTTCTGTCCAAAGACATCAACCCCCAAATATAACACTATAATCACCTAGGTGGTACACTGGGAAAAAGGATGGGGGGCAGAAAACAAAACAGATTGCGTTATATAACTAAGTTTCCAGTCAAAGGACATTCTAAAATCTAACTAAAGAAAAATCATTGCAAGTCAATTTTGAAATAAAGATAAAGCTGCTTTACCATTTTCCTCTGTGCATAATAATTACTAACATTTGCCTTTTTTGTAAAGTAGTGCAAGTTGCTGCCAATAACAAAATTCTCCTAGCATAAAGCATTGCAACTTTATCTATCAACTGACTGACTGTATCACTTTGGAATGCAGTATAAAATGCTTACTGAAGGCAATTTACAGGAGAAAATCAAACTGGTAGTATTCTCATTTATATTACAAAGGAATTAAAAAGTGGTATAGAAGGCTATGTGTAATGTAAAAACAAATACCTATATACTTTTTAAAGTGGAGGTTTTACCTTGTAACAGTGTCTGGGGGACTTTTTTCTTTTACTTTGTAAGCTTTAGTAACATTTATGAAGTTAAAATAAATATAGTCCAGCAAAATGAAAATATGAGTCATTAAGATATTATTTTTGCCTTTTGGTTTTTTTTAATTCCATAAGAAACAACTTTATATTTAGAAAGGCCAATGGAGATATACTTAGGTTGAACCTAGAGCCACTATCGTCTCTCTTGTATACATAGGATTTAGATTCACATTGAGAGATCAAAAATTTCATCGGTGTTTTTTGTAGAAAAAGGTTAACAACCTTGAAAACAGGAAAGGGTAACACTTCTGTGTACAATTTTTAAGTTATATTTTTAATTTGCTTTAGCTTAGAATTATGGAATGGAGCTCTAACAGTGTATAATTGACCACTTGCAGGAATCTAACCTCACAAAAACTAATGAACTAAAGAATGAAGAGAAGTATTATTAGGCACTGAGAGGCTAAATAAATAAGTACTAACATTAACAAAACTGATAAACCCTATTTCAAGTTCCTATTGTTATCCCACTGTGTAGCCAGAACTGCTGGCTATTTCCAGTCTAAAACCAAAGAACTGGATCAGTTCCTTACAGAAAAATTTCTACAAAAGGGAAAAGAATGCAAAACAATACACAATCTCATATGCAAGATACAATTCACACTAATTTACAAATTTTTATTTACACTGTTTTATGTACATTCCAGGCAGACCTAGTTCTTGAGTTTTGTGCTCATATTGATCTCAAATGACCACGTGAACAGTATGATTTACTACCACATCTCTTTGATTTCCAGAAAATGGTGGTAGTATGGGGTCAGAAGACGACAAAAAAAAAAAAAAAAGTTACTGGTCAGTAAGATCTAACAAGTATGTAAGGAACAAAGAAGAAAAAATTGTGGAATTTTGCTTGTTAAAGCATCCAGGCCACTATGGTCTATTGACTAACATGAATGCCACTTTTCTAACAACCATTTCATATTTACAAAATGAGCTTACAAGTTGAGTTATTAGGTAAGGCATTCAAGTTCCTTAGCTAAACATAAAAAGGCAACAGATATCTCAAGAAGCCACGGGATAAATTTTAAAGGGATGTTTTCCCTTTAGAATCTCTTAAATGGTCAAAAAAAAAAAGGGGGGAAGCAATTTTAAACCCTCTTTAATAGCCTGCAGCATGATCCCCCAAACACCTGTACCAAAGTGGGAGCATCACAACATCCAAAACCTAACCAAAGAGTGGGGGGAGTATCTTAAATATCTGATTATGTTCCCAAGATCCAGTGGATACTCTCCTAGCAATAAAGGTAGAGCTTTTATTCCCCTTTACATTAACTTCTATATGAATCTTTCTGAAATGCTTATAATAGTGTCACAGCTAGCAGCTATGCAGTCTACCAGCAACGGCTCAGTGAATCTCTATTCAAAATAGTTTGAAGAATATCGAGTAAGACAGAAAAATGATCTTCTCTCCTCCCATAGTAGATATATACTGTTGCACTTTTAAGAAGTTGGAAAGCAAAAAAAAAACCAAAAAAACAAAAAAAAATCAAGAGTATTACATAGGTTTCATAGTTCTAAGAAAATATTCCAACCACAGATAAAAATTCCACCAGAAACAATTTTTCAAGTATATTCTAACATTATATAAACAGTTATTAATTGTTTAATTGATTCCATTTCATTTAGTCAATTAGGTAAAATTCTATTGATTCTACAATAATGTGGTTTATAAAAACAGAAGTGAACATTTTTAACATTGGGGAGGTAGAAAACAAACCTTGGTCTAACACTGTTATATATACAAACAGATTTTAAGATTCTATTTATGTAACTAGAATTTACCATTTAAAATGGCGTTTAAGTGTTTCTACTTTATTACCTTTAAACATCTTGAGATAATCCAAGTATTTTAAAGCACTTATTTGAGAATAAGTCATTTGGAATAATACATCAGACTCCCCAGAAGATTTCTCAGAGGATAAATTTGTAGTTGCATATTCTGAATATGCAGATCCATTAAGCCAACTTTGTACATGGGCACTTATGTGACCAAAGTGAAAAGCTTGTCAGACTAATTTTCTAAGTAAAAAACAACCATGACTATTCAACTCCACACAGCAGTATTCAAAACTTGACCCCTACTTATCCCAAAGATCTAACTTCCTTCCACATAATTACCATCCTCTCACTAGAAAGCAAAATAAAAAATACACAAAGAGAAATAAAAACTAACAGAGAAGTATTTCTGCTTAATTCACATTTTGTTATATCAGCTATTAAGTGTACAATATCAATGCCTTAAATGTTCCTTATTCTATTATCCACGTCAACTTATTTCTCCAAACCTACATGTATCAAGCAACCATTTCCTATCATTATAAAGACATGGAGCCAAACTAAAACATGAAACCAAAATGTATGAAATGAATCTACAGTGGTAAAAAATAATTAATCTCAATGACATTTTCTTGTTCCCAAGTATGACAAACATTGTTTCAAAAATTAGCAACTTTTCTCTGCCTATTATTTAATAACAAATACATAGACCATCTCAATAAGTAAAACAAAACTTTTGGTTAGAAACAATTTGATATACACTAAAATCTTAAAAATAAACTGGTAAATGACCACATTGAGTACATGAGAACATTAATGAATCCAGATTTTTGGTAACAAAAGTCATTATATCTATTTCAGGATTACATAGTAAATATTAATATTTATACTGCCAGACTATGTAGGGAGATGAGAATCTAATTCTAAGGTATATTCCCCCAAAAGAAAGTTTCCAATATCCAATTCAAAAAGATGTACCACTACCCTAGTAGTGAATGTATTTCACCCTCCTAAACAGATGTTTTTCAATGAACTGCTCTAAATTATCTATACCAGTGTCTGGCATTTCAAGATTAAATGATCCATTTTACTTACAGTGCATCAAGATCAAAAAGTTACAATGAACACCTAGAACATTTAACTAAAATTAAAAACAAAATTTACTCTGGAACATTTTCACTGCTTACATTTAACAGATGAAATACATGAAAGCAATCACAGAATCATGTTACATTTATAATAAATAATTCACACATAACAGATTACCAAAAAGACTGAACTGACACCTTATACCTTTTTGCAGATTTAATAAATTTCTAATCTACCGCATACTGATAGCAGTAGGTATATTTTTTGATACCAGTCTATTTAAAAAAATAGATTGGTAGACAGAGGCATAATTTGTAAAGCAAAATAACCAAATTAAATTACAGAATTTTAACAAATAATTGGCTTTACAGAATCTCTTAAGAAAAAATTCACAAGCATTGTTCAGCTAGTTGAGTGTAATTACATCTTTACTCAGGCATTTTTAATGCAGTAACCTCCGGCTTCATTTTAAAGTATTGGTTAAATCGAACAATTGCATACCTAGTGAGAAAAGAGAATGACAGAATTAGTCAAAGCTGGAAACTTAATCCTCCCTTTATTTCCACTCACCCATCTAAACTAATTTCTTTCAAGTTTTAAAAAAAATTTCAAAGAATATATCTTTAGTTTATTGCACCACCTACTGGACACTTTTCTAATATTAAGCATATTTAACAGATTATACCAGATTTCCTCTCTGACTAGTTATTAAATGTATGGAACCTTTATAACATTTGATTGAAAATAATAACTACAATGTCTCCTATGAGTTCTAAATGTTACTTCAAAGAAAGCAGAAACAAATACAGAGTCTGGCACAAATAACACCCCTTTTTTATTATAAAACCTTTTATTACAAAAATCATGAGCATGTAACATAACAATATCACAATCAAGCATACCATATGACATTTTAGCTGAAATATTCAAATTAAAACTATAAATTATTCCACCCACATTATTACTCTACCAACTACACTCAAGCAGGCCTTATTTTGGCCAGGCCCTGTATAATGCATACAGTAAAATTAAACTTACCCAAGGAAATCAAACTCAATAGTGGAATATTTGGCTTGAATCAAAGCCCACAGTCCCCAAAAAAAATGAGAAGCCTAAGGAGAAAGGCAGAGAAATCAAGAATTGTAATAATGCATTTCTTTGTAAAACAAATACACTGTTAATTTTTTCCTTTGTCATCAATTCCATAAACAATACTTTCTTGATGCTTTCTTATGTAAAATATCTAAAGGTAATATTTAAATGTACAGTTACCTAAGTGGCTATAAATCACTTTTGTCTACACCAAAAGATGCTATAATAAACTGTTGTCATTTAAAAACTAGAACCCAGTTTCTGTAACCTGCTTGTGTAGGCTGAGTTCAGCATCAACATTGACAGATGTTGGTTAAGTAGTGTTTTTTTTCCAAGTACCTTTTTTCTGTCTTTTTTTGGCCAAATATTTTTAATGTTATTAATTGCTAATAGGCTCTCTTAAAAATACATTATCAAACGAATTGGTTACTTGACATAAAAATATAAACAAATGAAAACATAAATCTCAAAACCAAAATATATGTATACATATTTTTTGAAGCACAGCAAAACTTTATTAGGTGAAACTCTGGCATTCCTTATAGCCCACTTGCACATATATATATTTTTATTACAGCAGTCAAAAGGTATGCTACCAATTATATGCAAAACAAGATTGCAAAGTACATTTTTTACTAGGTGGTAGTAGGAACTCCAAATAGTAATAGGTGGTGTCAAAGAATGCAGCCCAGTGTTTGCATAATTCACAGGCCCTACGGTGTGAACTTCTTCATTGCACCTCCTTTTACCAGACCCCATTATTAGTCTTAAAGAATGGTTTTTACCCTAATTTCTTGCTCACTAAAAACTATCAACTGTACCACATTTCATAGGATGATGACAGATGTTTATAATGTTCATTTATGAGAAACAGACATGAACATTCTCAAGTTACTGATGATCTAAAAAGGATTAAAATTTAAGCTTCAAAGGCCTACTACTGTTCATGCTCTAACTTGTACCTTTAGTCAGTTTCAAATCCCACATTAGGAAAGTTTAGTCTTCTGTGAAATCTTAGAAAGTTTTTATTTTCAAGACTAATATATATTTATCTTTAAATATGTTAATTGGTCATCAAAGGTATACTTTCTGGTATGCCTTCAAAAAGAACATTTAAATATAAAAACTGTTCTAGAGGTCACAAACATCTGAAAACAACTTTTATTGACCCAACAATTCTGCATAACTGACCACAACATACAACTTGAAGTAACACAACTTTATGTCAGAAAAAAATGGGTCTTAGGATTTAATGGAGAAAACAGATGACTGTGTAAATTGGGAACTGTAAAATAAGTGTGTGTGTGCTTTACAATCATTTTAAGTTAAATGACATGGTATTTTAAGATTCTGATAATACTAATAAGGCTTTACTTACAAAGAAATACTCTAACTAGAAATACTACTTTAAAAAACTTTTACCCTAAAAATATCTCTATTTAAAAATGTTGCTGAAAAGTATTTGCCCACTCTCCCGACTCTCGATTCTGTTCCATTGGTCTTTCTTCAATGCCATGTTGTTTTGATTACTGTCACTTTGTAGTATAATTTGAAGTCAGGGAGTGTGATACCTATGGCTTTGTTCATTTTTTTCTAAGGACTGCTTTGGCTATTGAAGGTCTTTTATGGTTCCATACAAATCTGATTCATTTTTTATTCCATTTCTTTTAAAAAACTTAATCGGGCCCTGGCCAAGTGACTTGGCTGGAGCATCGTACCACACAACAAAAGGTTGCAGGTTCAATCGCTGCTCAGGGCATAGGTTGTGGGTTCCATCCTGGGTTAGAGCACATATGGGAGGCAACAAGTTACTGTTTCCTTCTCTCTCTCTTCCTTCCTCTCTCTCTAAAATCAGTAAACATATCTTTGAGATTTTTTTTTTAAATTGCCACTGGGATTTTGATGGGGGGCTTGTGTTAAATCTGTGTATTGCTTTGGGTAATAAGGCCATTTTAACTATGCTGATCCTTCCAATTCATGTACACAAAACATCTTCCCATTTCATTTTGTCTTTTTCAATCTCTTTTAATAATGCTTTGTAGTTTAAGAAGCCAAAAATATAATGGAGGAAAAAATCTCTTCAATAAACGGTGCTGGAAAAAGCCACATGCAAAAGAATGAAACTAGAATAGTTTGTCCCCATATACAGAAATGAACTCAAAACAGATCAAAGACTTAAATATAAGACGTAAAACAAACTACATAGAAAAAAACACAGGTACCAACTTATGGGCCTTGGTCTTGGAGATTTTACGAATTTGACCCCAAGGGCAAGAAGGGTGGGCAAAAATAAATGAATGGGACTAAATCAAACTAAAAAGCTTCTGCACAGTCTATGGCCACACCACTCTGAACACACCCGAACTCGTCTAAAAAGCTTCTGCACAGCACACGAAACACCCAGTGAAACAAAAAAGCAACCTACTGATTGAGACAACATATTTCCAAACAGCTCTGAGAAGGGGTTAGTAACCAAAATATATCAAAAACTCATACAACTCAACACTAACCAAACAACCCAATTAAAAAATGGGCAGAGGACCTGAACAGACACTTCTCCCAAAAAAGACATTAAGTGTATGGGGGGTGGGAGCAGGGGATGGCCCCAAAATACCCGGGATTATCTTCTAGAGTGCAGGTCTCTTGTAGTACAGGCTTCCCCCATTAGGGGAGTGTTCTGAAAAACCATCTGTATGTGTACCAGCTGGCATTGTTGTGAGAAACTGAGTTCGACTTCAGTGAATTTTTTTTGAGGACTCTTTCAATGTCTTTGCCCATTTCATGACGGGTGACTTACGAGCGCACCTGCCCACACCACACTGGGTGTTCAGCAGTTTTTGACCAGAAACATCATGACCCCCATACCCACCCACCCTATTCACCCAATCTGGCCCTGAGCAACTATTTTTTGTTTCCCTGGATGAAAAAAGTCCTCAAAGTGAAATGTTTTGCCAATGTGGAAGAGGTGAAGCAAAAAACAACAGAAGCACTAAAAGGCATCAAAACCGATGAGTTCAAAAACTGTTTTGAGCAGTAAAAAAAAGTCTCAATAGGTGTACTGCATCAAATAGAGAGTGCTTTGAAGGGGATGGCACTTTAAGCATGTAAGAGTAAGTACACAATTTTTTATAAATAAATTGTGGGTTTTTTCGGGTCCCCCCTCACACAATGTCCAACAGATATATGAAAAGATGCTCCATTTCACTAGCTGTTAGGGAAATGCAAACCAAGACTACAATGAGCTACCACCTCACACCTGTCAGAATGGCGATCATCAACCAGACAATTAATACTAAGTGTTGGGGAGGTTGTGGAGAAAAAGGAACCCTCATCACCGATCGTGGGAATATAAACTGGTACAGCCACTATGGAAAACAAGATGGAGCTTCCTCAAAAAATTAAGAATAAAGTTACCATATGACCCCAGCAATCCATCTTAGGGTACTAACCCCAAAAATTTGAAAACATTTATTTGCAAAGATATATGCACCCCTATGTTCACAGCAGCATTTTTCATGGTGGCCAAGACACAGAAACAACCAAAGTGTCCTTCGATAGATGACTGGATAAAAAAGATGTGGTACATATATACAATGGAATGCTACTCAGCCATAAGAAAAGATGAAATACTGCCATTGCAATAGCATGGGTAAACTTTGAGATTATCATGCTAAGTAGTACAAGTCAGAGAGAAGTTAAGAACTATGATTTCGTTCATATGTGGCATATAAAACTGAAACAAATGAACAAACAAAAACTCATAGACACAGACAACAGTATGGTGGTTACCAGAGGGAAGGGACTCAGGGGTAGTAAAGGGTAAAAGGGGTCAAATATATAGTGATAAAAGATCACTTGACTTTGGATGCTGGGCATACAATGCAATATACAGAGCATGTATCGCAGAACTATACACTTGACACCTAGATAATATTATTAACCAATGTCATCCCAATGAATTTAATAAAAAGTATGCTGTTAATAAAAATCTTTATTTAAAGTATACTATTGTACTTCATTATAGTGTATCACAGGATGTAGAACTTCCCATCAAATATGAGTATAAAAAAGATAAACAATGTACTAAAGAGTAAAATAGGTAAAGTCATATGCATGGAAAACATACTGGTTTAAAAGAAAAGAGCTGGGCTCTGGAGTCAAACTGCAAAAGTGACTAGCTGTGTGGCTTTGAACAATTTAACTCCTTTGTACCTTTGTTTCCTCATGTATAAAATGCAACTGTGATATGCTTTATAAGAACTATATAGTCAGTCTTCATCCACTGTTCCTATCTCATAGCTCCCCAAAATCCTTAGAATTTCCTGAACATAAGTGAAATGGGAACATCTTCTGTTATATTTGGTATTTTGTCACAGGTTCCTGAATAATTCTGGAGCCACAGAAGTGAAAGGAATACCCTGTAACTCTTAACCAGCCCTTTACACCATGAGGTGACTTCTGGGAAGCCCGTAAGGGTAAGGGCTGGTTGCCAGGGAAACCTACCAACGTATTAGAGGGTTGAAACTTTCAGCCCCACCACCTTCCAACCTTCAGAAGAGAGAAAAAGGGACTACAGATTGGGTTCAATCATCAATGACCAGTAACTTAATGTCGCCTATGTAATGGAGCCTTTGTAGAAACCCCAAAGGAGGGGATTGGAAGAGCTTCCAGGTTGGTGAACAGACACACTGGGAGGTTGGTGCATCTCAAGCTCCAGGGAAACAGAAGTTCCTGCATTCAGGACCCCTCTGGACTTTGCCCCATGTACCTCATAATCTGGTTATTCTTATATATCCTTTACATCACTCTTCATAATAAACTGGTAAGCATATGTAAATGTTTCTGAGTTCTGTTAAGTACTTCAATAAATTAATCAAACCCAAGGAGGGAGATGTGGAGGTTCCAGACAATAGGTAAGAAGCACAGGTGGTAACAACCTAAACTCGCCACTGGCATCTAAGGGAGGAAGTGGAGCAGGAGCAAACAGTCTCGTGGGACTGAACACTTAACCTGGGGGATC